GTGGGGGGTTCTCCCTGCCTGGGCTGTGCCATGGGGATGGTAATAGGGAGGATTGCCTGTTTGCTTGCCGGAGGCTGTGAGCGTGGTGGGGCTGGAATGCTCGTCTTTGCATGGCTGGGAAGGAGAGGCTCCGGGGCGACCCTGCGCGGGGGGGGAAAAAAAAACCTGTGTGTGGGTCCCAAGCCGGTGGAACTGTGCTTGTGAGGAGCCCAGTGCTGCTCCCGTGCTGGGACAGCCCCTCCCGGACTCCCTGATGCTTTACATGTACCTGTAGTGATGGCAGCATCCTCCCCATGGATCTAGGGTGGGGGAAAGAAAAGGGGATACCATGCCTGCCCCCCCTGCATCCCAAAGGATGGCTGCTGCAGGGAGCTGGGCTCCAATTTTACCTGCTGGCACAGAGTTGTGGGGAATGCAGCCTCTGGTTCATGGTCCAGCCCTTCATCCTTGCTTCCCTGTTCGCCAGGACAAGGGTTTCACTTTTGGGACTGAGCACCATGAGGCAGCACACTGGGGAAAGGGGATGGGAACCCCCTGCAGCTCACAGCACGTTTTCCTCCTCTTCCCCAGCCCAAAGCCAGGCTCCGCTTGGCCCTGGCAGTTTGGGGAAGTGCTCGGAAGCAAAGGGAAAACCCAGAAGCGTTGGCCTGGCTGTAAGCAGCCAGGGAGACATGCAAGCGGCTGGGCATGGGGAACAGCACTGTCAATGTGCCCTGTGCCGTCACCTGCCCAAAGAGCTGGAGAAGAGGAGAAGGGTCTGGCTGCTTGGGGTGAAATGTGCCTCTGAAGAGCCCCTGGGGCTGGTTTCCTGCTGGGAAGGTGCATGGCAGGAGAAAGGAGGTGTCTGTGCCTCTGCCATGGATGGAGCCTCATGTGCCGTCATGGAGGGCTTCAGGGAGGGAATATGGGGCAGCAGCACTGGGGTGCCTGGGCCGCTGTGTTGTCTGTAGTGGGGGTTCTGCTGCTGTTGGAGCAGCCTGGGTTCCCCTTGCACCGAGGTCTGACTGGGGTGGGGGGGATATGGGGTGTTCCATGTGGTGGCAGAGCCTGGTGAGAGGACGAGGGATGAGACCTGCTGCTGAGCCAAAAGGGAAACTGAAAAAGCTGCTGGTGGTGATGAGTGGCTTTCACCCCCCCC